ATGTACTATAATATGTTCTGAAGATAAAATAACTGCAAAGAAATCTTAAACTGCATTCCATCATTTTATTTTTAGGAATTAAGATTGCTATTACAATTTCAAAGCTTTTATTTGTAAATCAAAGAATAAAATGATAAGCAGAACTAATTCCTGGAGTGTAACAGAAAACAGAAATACAAAGCAAAGAAGTTAAGCATAATCCCTGCTGAAATATTTGCACAAATACAATGTGGTATCTCGGGGCAAGGCCCAAGTCTAAACACCAAATTCACTTACAATTTATTTACATCATACACACATAGCTTGAAGGTAACTTGCACAATATTTTTAACCTTCTGTGTATAAAAAAAGTTTCATGGTGTGGAATTTTCCATTGAGTTCCACTGATCACACTAGCTCTCAAAAAACTTCAGATTTTGGATTTTAGATTAGGGTGTGTGTGTGTGTGTGTGTGTGTGTGTGTGTGTGTGTACACGTGCATTTTCTAACATTATTGCCCCAAAAAGTTGAAAAAGAAAGGACACTCAGCAGGATAGTTATGGCCCAGCTCTCACTTTCTAAGTGCTACTTTCTCTCTCAAGAAAGTAGGACCTTCTGAAGAAATAGCTTGATTTTTAGGTCCTGTGTGGAGAAAGTAAACATTCAGTAAGACAGAAACTGGATAAACAGAAAGCATGCAAATATTACGTCAAGATAAAGAAGCCAACTTTGACTGGTTCCCATTGACTAACTATGGAATTATACACACACAAAAAAACAAACTGACCAACAAATGGAAGAAACAAAAATCAGACTATAGTGCTATTCCAAAAAATGTCTAAAAATCTTATTTATCTGTTATAATTTAGTATTACACACAAATTCCTTATTATGAAAATTGGCAATTATGTAAACTGAAAGACAGACGCAGTTATGTGTATTTTTGCCCAGCCGTTTTAAAGAAGACATGGCACACTACTTGCCTGGCAGGCACTAAGTCCTGAGTTTGATTCCAGTACCAAGAAAGAAGTAAGAGAGGAAGGGAATTAGGGAGGGAGGGAGAAAAGAAACTGTTTAGTTACAAAAAAACAGATGTCAAAGCACAATGCAACTTAAAATCATTATTTTGCAATTGCAAATGAAACATTTAATAAGCAGCAGTAAGCTTAGTTGAAAGATGACTGAGAGATAAAACTGATACACAGGCCTAAACATCAGTCTACACATTACTATTTAGTTTACAATGGGAGGATGTAGTAGGTGACACCTTAACGGATGCTAACATTTTCCATCTCTAAAAATGCAAAACCCAACAGTACCAACCAATAATAGGACGCAATATGAAGTGGTTTCATCTAAGAATTATTTTTCTTTTTGCAAAAATACCTGACCAGCTTTAACTCTTTAGACCCACATTTTGTTTTAAGAAGTAAGAGACTGAAGAAGTAGCTAAATGACACAGGAGAAAGCAATCACATAAACTCTGAATGGAAGACATAAAACCAGTTTCACATTAGGATACAATCATATACGCTGCTAGTTGTTCTGTAACTTGAAAAAGAACAACATATAAACTAAAAAAAAAAAATCTTATTAAGAAATCAAAAGAGGTGCAAATGCAAAGAGTCTAAAGGAATGAAGCTGCAGAGAGGGCCAAGCCCTTCCTGCATGCAGAGTGACCACAGCATAGACCAGAGGCAACCGTTGAAGTGCTCCTGCACAGTGAAGGGCCAAGCAGCTACCAGGAAAGTGAGTGGGTCTGCTGGGCTGGACGGCAACTAGCAGCACCTTTAAGGTCATCTCAGGCTACGATGGAGGAGTGTTCAAGAAACCCAGGTAGAAATAGCTCTTCCTAGTCTCATCCTGATTACCCCCCCACTACCTTTGGGCCTACTTACAGATATGTGTAGGCAGGAATGGTCCTAAAAAGAAAAAAAAAAATTGTTTTCTTAGACTTATACCCTAAGATTTTACAGGCTTGGACATGTAATATATGTAAAACAAGATTCAGTCATTCTGAAAGTATCTGAAACCAGAAGTGAAAGCAAACTAAACAGATAATCAACTCTCACTTAGTCAGCTCTACTTCTGATGGGAACAAAGTGTTCAGCTTTGCATCCTAGCTGGCTGGCTGAGAAAACTCCTGTCTTTTCTAGAGAAAAACAATGTGACAACCTCTTCTAACACAACGCCAGTATTTTTAAAAATTACAACCAAGAAAGGAAAATGATCCATTATTAAAAAGCAAGCAGCCAAAAACACCAGAGCTAGGTATAAAGCAAGTTAAATTAAGCAGTTTTACAAATGTGTTTAATAAAGAAAAAATAGGTCAAATAGGCGGTAATACAGAGAACTTCAATAAAAAATGAAAACTGAACAGCCCAATACTATACAAAAATTAAGAAAAATGACAGCAGCATCCTGAAAATTTTTCATTAGTACACGTTTGGAGTACACAATGTTTCCCTTTCTTGTGGGGCATTAGTACATGTACCTATTATACTGTAATTCCTTTCGGCCGCCTCTTCCTGTCTCTCTCCCCGATCCGTCCATCTTCTGATTCCCTTCCTTCTGCATGCAGCAGGGAGCATACTGGCAGTGCACAATGCTTATATTCCCTTGTGGAGTCAGCACCACAGCCCTGGATTTTATCCTCTCTCCCTCCAGTACTCGGGCCCCTTCCCATCTAAAGAAGCCCACTGCTCTACTTCCTATTGCCTATCACTTGCTCTTTATGTACCATTTGTGCTTCTCACATAAGAGAAACAATAAGGTATTTCAGCTTTGTTTATTTCACATAACACTGTGGTCTCTGGGTACATCCACTCTCCTGCAACTGAATGAAGTTTACCCTTCTTTATGGGAGAGTACTATTCTATTGCCAGTTTCTTCACCCACTCGTCTCATGACAGACATATAGGCTGCTTCCAAGACTTAGCAATCATAATCTGTGCTGCTGTAAACATGAGTGCGTATAATGGCAACGTAGTATCTTTAACTCTTTTGGAAAGCTATCTAGAAGCATTTCATAGGTGGGTCAAGTGGAATTTCTAGCTTCAATTTTTTGAGGAATTCACAGCTCGATTCCCACAGTGGTCACACCATGCTACACCCTACCAATGGTGCAGAAGCCACGCCCTGCCCAGTCTTGCTGCATTCACACTGCATTTGATTTCTGGATGGCGGCAACTCAACGTTGCTTTCATTTCCATTTCTCTAATAAAGAAAGACGGTAGCATGTGGCAAACTTGGCTGGGGAAATACGCAGGAACTATAACTGCAAGATCCCACAACAGTGTCGGAGAATTCCCAGTTCCCTACATATAAAACTTCTTGTGGGCTTCCACAAGATGTAGACAGAGGCTGGGGATACAGATCAGTGATACCTGGAACCAAAAAATAAAGAACTCAAGCGCCAAAGGGCGCCTACCAGCATGTCTCTTCATGGTAGCCCACCTGGCTCCTCCCAGGCACAAGGGATGCTTTTATCCCTTTCACTCGTATGTGGCCCAAGTTGGCCTTGCCACCCCAGTTTGGCCCTCAGCCCTCCACTCCTCACTTTTCAAATAAACTTTTGTCACCATTTTTGGCTTTGCTCATTCAATTCTTTATTCAAAGCAAGAATGACCTGGAGTATGTTTAGTTGGTGAGCTACTTCTAAAGGAACTACTCAATAATATAGTGACTAGCAACGCTGAGCATTTCTTATGTAGTTTTTGTCATTTGTACATTTTCTGTACAGTGTTAAATTCATTTCACTTGCCCATTTTTTGGTTGGCTCTTTAATTTCCAGAGGTCTAAATTTTTGGGGTACTTTGTATGTTTTAGATATTGGTCCTCTGTCCTAGTAATAGCTGGAAAATCCATTTTCCCATTCTGTACATTATCTTTTCACTCTGTAAGTTGTTTCTTTTGCTGTGCATAAGTTTATCAATTTGATCTGATCCCATCTGCTGATTCTCAGTCCCATTTCCTGTGCAAACAGGGTTCTGTTCAGAAAGTCCTCACCTATGCCTACATCCAAAGTTCTACCTATCTGCCTCCCAGCAGGTGAAGTGTTCCTGTTCTGACATTTAGTCCTTTGCGCCACTCTGATTTTAGTTTACTACACGGTGAGAGATAACGGGGCTAGCTGCATCTTCCTCATGTGGACAGCCATTTTCCCCAAAACCATTTGTAGAGCTTATCTTCTTTCCTCTGGTGTTATGTTTTTGGTCCCTTTGTCAAGGACTGCATAGTTCAATGTAATTAAGGTTTTTTCTGAATCCTCCATTCTCTTAACCTGATTCTCATGTCTTTTTTTGTACCACTACCATGCTGTTTTTAATCTCAGTGGCTTTGTAATGTAACTTCAAACCAGAATTGTGATGCTTTTTGCTTCACTCTTATTACTTAGGATTGTTTCTGCTATTTCTGGATCTCTTCTGGTTCCACATGAATTTTAAGATTGTTTTGTTTAGTGCTGGAGGAATGCTGTTGGTATTTCAATTGGGACTGCATTAAATCTGTGTATCAATTTTGGAAATATGGCTATTTTGGCTAAATTGGTATGGGCTATCCAAGGACAGGGGTGAGGTTTATAAGGGTATGGGAAAGGTTTATAAAGCCTTAAAATATAGATAAATACTAAAATAAATATAATGTCTACTTTTCTGCTTACCACTTATCGTGGAGATGCCTGGAATATAAACTCCATGATAACTGAGGGATTACTGTGTGTGTGTGTGTGTGTGTGTGTGTGTGTGTGTGTGTGTGTAATGTATAAATGGATTACATGGATTTAAAGACATTTTCAGGAAATAAAAGTTACGTCACAGAGAATCATTCTGATAAAGAAAAAAGTAAAATAAATTAAGGACAGTGAAGCAAAAAGGAAAGAAGCTATTTAAAAGGTACAATCTGTTGAAAAATGTTTCTAGTTTACCATTTACCACAACAAATTACACACAGCACTACTTGAGATTTATAAATTTCAGTAACACGTTACAAACCACAAAGCTAAGCTTCACAGAAACACTCACCTACAGCACCATTCAATGCGCCCTTCCCCCTCACAAGCTTTCGCCCAGTGATTATCTGCCAAGTTTTTCATCGCGACAGCATATTCACAAAGAGTTTCCTCATCTTCACAGTGTTCTCTCCAGATCTTATCAAAATCTCCCACTAAAAATGAAGAGAAAAAAATAAGCTAACTTAAAAATACTTGTAATTTCAGCAAAACCTGCAATAGTTTAAAAATAAGTGTACGACAAATCATGAAGTAAATGAAGTCTTAAACATTTTAAAAGTTCCTTTTAATAAAACAGGTGTAGCATTCAAATTGTTTAATAATCATTGGTACCAGTTTTAATAATTTGCAAAGCTGAACATAAATGATAAATAGTTATATGTACATATAAAATGAATTTAGACTTACAAACAGTGAGTTTCTAACTTTCATTTTAAACAGGAGTTAGAGCCTGGAGTGATGGTAAGCACCTGTAATCCCAGCACTTGAGAGGCTGAGGCGGGAGCATCACTGGGCAACAGTGACAGTTCAAGGCAGCCTAGGTTACACAGTGAGACTCTACCACAGGGGAAAAAAAACACAACAAAAAACCTCTGAAGTAAATCACAAGTCTGTAAACATAAGATGACTGATGTAATACCATCAAGGAAACAAAATGTTTTCCACATTCTGAAATAACAGTCCTTTCATTTTAGCAACATCTTTCAGAAGTAATTACCAAGTCTCTAAACATAACCATAGAAGTTTTTAATGCAATGTTTTGATTAATGATACTTCCATAACCCTATCATGGTTCATAACACCATTCCTGATTTATTCACCAGATCTGATGCTAAACGCTTCCTAAGTCAGGGTATGATTCTGAAAGTTCTTTATTGACTGTTGAGATCAATACTGTCAGACTTAGGCAGTGAATAAGGGGACATTTGTGTTGGGTTCCAGCAAAATTGGGGAAAGGCAGAAGAGACAAGAACCAGTACATACTTAAATCCAAACTCTGTCAGGTTGATGACTGAGTTCAGGGTCCGTCCAGGCTAGCTGAGAACTAGGAGGATGTTCTATGCAGCACTGCTGGCAACCACGACCAATTCCGAAGTCCTTCCCATGTCTTTTGCATACTTTGAAACTCCACTAGCTCTGTAAATATCTACCAGCTAAAAGATGTAAAGACAACTGTAAACATATAAACCTACTGCCCTGTAGCTTTTTAGGTGACCTTTGTTTTTTCACACTCAATAAAACTGTGTTTAAATACTGTTCTGTGGAGTTTAAAAGGTTACTGTCAGCTCCACCGATGTTTTAAGGAAGAATCCAGACTTTGTCTCAACTTACTCAATTAAACTTTGGCAGACAACTTCAATTTTAATGTTTTCACTAGGAGTACAGTCTGCAGATTCTCAAAGTGTGCTGACACTGGTGAGTGACTGGTACAGTGTAGTATATGAATGTATTTAATTTGGAATAAACAATGTAATTTCATATTTTTTTCATCCTATCAACAGACATGCTGAAAAAATACTGTTAAACACTATAGAAAATAAACTTACTAAGCAGGTGCAAACATCAAAAGGAGAAAAATGCATGTAAATATGATGTAGCATGCTATCATAAAAGAGACAAACCTGGTATGTTCCCTATGCCACATGTAAAGCACCCTAAAAGTAGAATTTATTAATTAATCAGCATAAAGGGATGTACTGGCACAATTTGGATAGTATCCACTCC